TGACCTCCTTAGCTGGGTCGCTTCTGAATATAATAAACCCTGGCAGCACCAAGTGTCTCATCTTTGCAGTGGTTACATTTGTCTTTCATCTTTATGTATGATTGTTTGACTTATGTGTGTTTCTCACAATAAACTGTACCCTCAGTGAGAGTAGGGACCCTTTCTTCCTCATCTTGCCGAGCACAGTGCCTGACGCAGTAACAGGTATTCAGTAGATATACTTTGAGTTGATGTCTTAATGAGCTGATTTAAACAATTAAAAGTTGTTACCTTTAAAATTTCCTCTTCATGACTACATAACATGGACCTATATTTCCTTCCCTTTTTTTTTAATGGAAATATCCATACATTAATTCTTGCATGGATTTTGATTATTTTTCAGCCTTGGGATGTATAATCATTACTTTACATCATGTAAACCTGTTACCAAAATTAAATTTAGATTTCTTCAAGTTAAAAATAAGGTTTGCTAAATACCCCTTTTGAAAGATCTTGTTATTTTAATCAAAAAAATTGTTTTAGGTTGGTCCAACTATAAAAGTTTATATTCACTTCAGAAATTTAATTTTTTTTTTTTTTTAAGATTTTATTTATTTATCAGAGAGAGACACCGCGAGAGAGGGAACACAAGCAGGGGGAGTGGGAGAGGGAAAAGCAGGCTTCCCGCGGAGCAGGGAGCCCGATGTGGGGCTGGATCCCAGGACTCTTGGATCATGACCTGAGCCGAAGGCAGACACTTAACGACTGAGCCACCCAGGCGCCCCAGAAATTTAATATTTTTAAGAGTAAGATAAGAAATGACAGTGTTTAAAATCAGATACGGAAAGAATTTTTTTTTTTTCGAAAAAATAATTTACTTCATGTATTTGTGCCTGTTACACCCTTTAAACAAACAAGGAAACTTAAAACTCAAACAAGGTCTTTAAAGTGATCAGTGGTGAAGTTAGGAGTAAAACTATCTAAATTGTTTTTAGTTATTGATGCCTGATCAATTAATTCATGTTGATAAATTGGTTTCTATGCAGTTTTTTTTATATATGGAGATTTTTTTGTATTCCTTGTTCCAGCCTCTGTATGATATGAAAGCTACAGACTTGCTTTTAAATACACTGTGTTGTCAAAATGTTTTATCTTAATCTACATTTTGTGATCCATCAGGTGATTCTGGACAAGGATTGAGAACATGGATCAAGCAGGTTTTAAATCAAGAGTTAACATTCCAACACATAAAAATTATTTATCCAACAGCTCCTCCCAGGTATGCAGTAATTTATCTCACTGCTCAGTATAACTGTGGCATAAAATGTATATAAATAGATGTACTAGCTAAATGTTCTTTAAACTTAATTCTGTATTTAAAGTATTTTGAATTGGGGTACCTTTTCTTCTAGAACTTTTTTTTCCCCCCAATTCCACGATTGGGCCAGGTTCTGCGAGGCAGGTAATTTCTCCCCTCTTTGTAAAGCATTCCCTGAAGGTCTTAACTTAAACTTTGTCCTAAGCACACCTACAGAACTCTGCTTCCTCTGGCCCTGCAGATTGCTCATCTTTCAAACTCTCTTTTCCCTTCATTTACCCCAAAAAGAAACTAATAGCTCCCAACAAGTATAAGCTTTCTAATTTAGTTATGTCAGAGTTCATAATCTCTGGCAAAGGGTTTTGTGGCATGCTTTCTACACTTAAAAAGTTTTAGAAACAATGTTAAGCTTTTTGAATCAGTAAACCATAATAGGAATATGGAATTGACTACTTAATAAATATTTAGATTATACAACCGGTAGATGTGTTTAACAAAATGTACAATCATGAGATTGGTATAGAAGTCATACTGCTTTTTATAATTATTTAGTTAGCATCTGCATAGGCTTTTATCCTGAGCACATGCTTTAAACTGGGGTTTGCAAATACTTTTTTGGGTAACCAAGATTATGTGCTGAGCTATGCATCCCACTCTGATTTCCCATTAATCTGTTCTTGATTTATTCTTATTAAATATACTGTGTGCTTATGCAAAGGCATTTTGTTTTTATTTTTCTATTAACTTAGTGTTAAGGAGAATCAGAACCAGAACTTCAAGGACCTTTTTATGTACAATTAAGATTTTACTTACTGCAATTGATAGAACTGAAAGAGAACAATAAAATGATAATTTTGTTGTAAAATTTAAGATTCAAAAAAAGTTATTTTTATATAATTTTAGAGGAATTTAGTAGTTTGGTAGTGGAAATAAAAGACCTACTGATCAAGGGGTTAATTTTGTGTTGTAAGTTGAATGTCTTTGAAATGTCAAAAGAGCTTGTCATTTGCTATTGGTTTTTAGGGTAAGTGAAGTTTGGAAAGAGAAAGACAGTGGTATTCCTATGGAGATGGGAAAGATAAGTTCATTTCAGCCTAAATATAATCGTAATTGTCTGACTAAATTGAATGGAAGATCATTGGAAACAGATTCTAGAATTAATGCTTTCAGCTTATGAATTTTATATCATTGCCAGTTTTTTTTCATTATGTTATGTTAATCACCATACATTACATCATTAGTTTTTGATGTAGTGTTCCATGATTGTTTGCGTATAACACCCAATGCTCCATTCAGTACGTCGTCAGTTTTGATACGTGTTCCAGACCAGTGGATCTCAAACTTTAGGCCCTGAGAATCCAAAAATCTCTATGTGCACTCAGTATTATTTGTGGGTGCTGTTGTGTTTAAGTAAAATATAAAATCACTGAAATATTTCACTGAATTCAGGTAACTTTTTGGTATTATATATTTTCATCGTCAATACCTATTTGAACAGATCATCAAACATTTTAGACCATGCTAACCAATGAAATAAAATATGAGCCACATATGTAAAGTTAAGTGTTCTTGACACCACATTAAAAAAAAGGAAAAACAAACAAGTAAATTAATTTTAATAATATATTTTATTTAACCCATTATATCCCAAATATTATCATTTCAACATGTAATGTTGAATCAGTATAAAATCAATATAAATCAATATAAAATTATTAAAGTGATAATTTACATTCTTTTATTCTTTCTAAATCTTTGAAATCTGGTATATATTTCATATGTGCAGCATATCTCCATTTGGATGCTGATCGATCAATTAAATTTATATTAAATAAATAATTATTTCCTCAAAGAAAACAAAAACACTAATTTGAAAAGATAGATGCACTCCTGTGTTTATTATTGCAGCGTTATTTATGGTAACCAAGATATGGAAGCAACTGAAGTGCCATCAGTAAATGAACGGATAAAGATGTGGTGCGTGTGTGTGTACACACACACAAACACACACACACAGGAGTATCACTCAGCCATAAAAAAATGAAGATCTTGCCATTTGCAGCAAGATGGATGGACCTAGACGTATTATGCCAAGTGAAGTAAGTCAGAGAAAGACAGATACCACGTGATCTTACTTCTGTGTGGAATGTAAAAAAACCAACGAACAAAGAAAGAAACTAAAAAAGAGTCTTAAATACAAAGAACAAACTGATGGTTGCCAGAGGGGAGGTGGGTGGGGGATAGGTGAAGCAGATAAATGGGATTAAGAGGTACAAATTTACAGTAATAAATAAGTCACAGAGATGAAGAGTACAGCATAAGGAATATAGTCAAAATGTTAACATTTGACGGGTGGTGACTACATTTATCAGTGGTGAGCACTGAGTAATGTATAGAATTGTTAAGCATGTTGTATACCTGAAACTAATATAACACTGTATGTTACTTACACTTCAATAAAAAAATTACATTAAATAAAAGTGAAAGTTAAGTACCTGGTTAAACTAGGTACATTTTTAGATGCTCTATAGCTCCGCGTGGCTGGGAGTTACCATTTTGGGCAGTGCAATTTTAGACTTTTAAAAGGAGGTCCCATACATTTATAGTATGTTAGGGACAACTATCCTAGATCAAATCATTTTTACTTAGATTTCTCATGGGTTTTAGTGCTTGAACTTGTAAGATTTTTTTTTTTTAAATGATGAGACGATTTAAATGGTTAGTTCTCAAGCAAGGATGATTCTTCCTCCGAGAATATTTGCAGTGTTGGGAGCCATTTTTGTTTGTCACAGCGGGCTGGGGAAGCAGCATAAGAGGCTCCGGGCAGCTAGTGGGTAGAAGCCTGGGATGCTGCTCAGCATCCTGCACTGCTCGGGACAGCCCCCACAATAGACTGTTATCCAGCCCCAAATCACAGTGGTGCCTAGGCTGAGAAACCCTGCTTTAAAATTACACCTCTGTTCCCACACATACCAGATGATTAGTATCTTGGTTCTCTGTTAGGAAAAAAAAAAAAAATGTTGCAGTGTGGTCAGCTGTTTATATTTTAGAAAAACAAATATCTGAGGTAATTAAAGTATGAATGGCATCATTGTCTTTGAATCAATACAAAAAGAAGTTGAGATTGCACCTAAGAACAGGTCTTTATGTACTAGGCTTTCTTTATTTTTAGATTTAATTACTCTAGGTCAGAAACATTAAATACAAAAGTCCACTTTCCTTTAGAATTTACTCTTGAGAGCATGGGATTGTGAAGCTTTGCTTCCCTGTTTTCACTGGTTCTAAGATTCCTAAAATGAAGAAATAAAAACCTCACAATTGAATAAACTTTGCAGTTTCCCGTTTAAGAACTCAAGGGCTTTTCAAAAATTTTCAGAGATAGTGTATATATGTGTTTTTACTATAAGATCTACAGATCTGCGTCATGGGGTATTACATCTCAGACCTCTATCTTTGATTGGAGGCATCAAATAAGAGAGTGAAATGAAATGCATGTAATTAAGGATAATAATGCCAGTTAATTTGCTGTCAACATACAATTCAAGTAAGTTTGTAAAATGTTTATTGCTTTCAAACATAAGTACCAGAACCCTCAACTGACCTAGCAAAGTTATTTTGTGTCACATATTCAGCAAGTTGTACATTCTGTAGCTCTGCTGTATTTCATTGGTCCTTTCGCACATTGGAAATCAAATGTCACTGACCAAGGATTACCAATGGCTCCAGACCTTTGGATTTTATGATCTTCTAAATGTCAGAAGGGATCTTATAACAGGCAAGTATAACAAGCAAGAACTGGTTCAGTGTTTTATTATATTAGAAAATCTGTTTCAACATTACTGTGAAATCATTTTTCTTTTGTTCCATGAACAGTGCAGAAATCAGCAAGTCTTACTTCCAGATGTCTCGGACTCTTCAGAACAATTAGAAACTGTATTTAATATGCAGTTTAAAATTACAAGATCTGAACTATTTTCATTCAAATATGAACCATATCTCTATTGACTGAGGATTTTTTCAGTCTTAGTTCATCTTACATCTCATTGTAGTTTTGGTATATGCTCTTTCCTTTCTGTTCTAATGTATTTCCCGATTATTTTTACTTAAGTACATGAGCATTAAAGGCATTGAATTGAAGACACTAGATAGTGTTTACAATTCAATAATATTTTATTCTCTTGTTCTATTGAAATTGGTGATGATGCTTCCTTAATTTCGTGGTGAATTAAATGTAATACATTTTAAGGGTTTTCATATTTTTAGACCTAATTTTCTGTCCCACAAATGATCATTTCTTAGTTTTTTCCCATTAAATTATGTTTGGTAGTTATGTATTATGACTCCTGTTTACCATCTGGCCTCTTCAGTATGCCTTTTCCAGACTATTCAATCAGTCCAGCCCTAATGCCCTCAGATTTTAGAACTATTAGTGGTGATTTTATATAAATATAGTTAATAAAAATTTGTCCTAGAGGAACATTTTGGAAACCTTTTGCATTTTTCTAACTAAAAGTAAAAACTTGAGTAAACCACAAATATCATAAAAAGTAGACAGCCACTGTTAAGACTATCATCCTATCTTTAATATCTTTAATGTCTTATTTGTTTATTTAGTTTTGCAAATGTGAGTTCATACTAAACAATTATAAATTCTGCCTTTTTTTCACTTAATACTGTATTTGATGATTTCTTCCTATAACAATTTCTCACTGAAATATAGAAAACTGTTTTAATAGCTATAGAATATTCTTCTAAAATTTATTCTTTTGTAGACTGTTTTAGTTTTTATCCTCAGTTTATCACTATATGTATCTATTTATCCTATTTCTGATTTTCCTTCAGGAAAAATTCCTAGAAAGTACTCAGAGGCCTTATAGTCAGTTCCTTTTTGTTTAAGGGATTAGCTCTTCTAAATTGTTTTCCAAGAATGGACAGTTTGCATTATTACCAGCAGTGTATTAGGATACCCATTTCACCGAACACTTACTAGCATTAATTTATTTTAAAAACAGTTTCTCCTTTTATTCCTGAGGCTCTCTAAGGGTTATCTATCAGTTATCAAATAATCAATGCTTTCAGTATCACTAAATCAGCCTAGCAGTTTACTAATTTAATGTGTTTAGGTAAAGATAGATAGATGATTTTTTTCCTTTTACACTCAAAATTCTTTAAATATTTTTTTCTTGGTCACAAAATTGTTGCCTTTACAATGAGATCTACTTTATAATTTAACAGCCTCTAAAAAATAACAGACTGAGAAGAAAAATACATAGAAGTATCAAAACAGGAACAGAGTACTAATTTGTTGATTATTTCTAAGCTTAGTTAATGGATATAAGCTTTGGAAATATGTATAGTTACATTTATGTTTTATTCATTTTCGTGCCATTTATATTTAAGTGTATTATATGTTAATAAAAGTTATGTGATACATATCCAGAGTGACAAATATAGTAATATATAAGCAATAAATTCACTTGTTATTCATTCTGATTACTTTGAATCAGCAATCTGATATGTGCTATACGATGTGCAATCTTTGAGAAACCAGTACTTCAATTAAGGAGGAAAAGTGAAGACTTTTAGAAATATGTCATCTAATACTTTTTTTTTATGTTATGTTAATAACCATACATTACATCATTAGTTTTTGATGTAGTGTTCCATGATTCATTGTTTGCATATAACACCCAGTGCTCCATGCAGAACGTGCCCTCTTTAATACCCATCACCAGGTTAACCCATCCCCCCACCCCCCTCCCCTCTAGAACCCCCAGTTTGTTTTTCAGAGTCCGTCCTCTCTCATGGTTCATCTCCCCCTCCGATTTCCCCCTCTTCACTCTTCCCCTCCTATCTTCTTCCTTTTTTTTTTTTTTTTAACATACAATGTATTATTTGTTTCAGAGGTACAGGTCTGTGATTCAACTAATTCTTATTTAAAATAAAATTGTGAAGGCTGTTAATGAAGAACTTATCAGTTCTGGGTCTTAATTTTCACATATCTAAAATGAACTGATGGGACTAGATTTCCAAAATCCTTTAGTCACTAACTTTTTGAATTTTAGGTCCCTTCAGATTTTATGGAGTATAAATAAGAACCAGTAATGTAATACTCTTTTTTTGCCACAGTGTTGGACCAATAGGTCAGGGAAATATCCAAGATATCATATTGTTCAGTAGGCTATTGAAGATAGAATTATTGTGGTTAAGAATACGATCTTTGGATTCGGCAGGCCTGGATTTGAATCTAGATTTCTCTATTTAAGTTCTGTAAGATCTTGAGCAAGGTATTTCACCTCTCTATTGGTGTCCCAATTTCCTGAAGTGCAAACTGGAAGTAATAATTATATCTACCTCAGAGAGTTGTCATGAGAATATATGGTGTTATTGAATATATATGTAAATTCCTCAGCATGATGTCTGACATAAAATAAGCACTGAATAATTGTTAGTTATTAATAGTAATCTGTGATATCCTTGTGGGCAGGATGTAGAAATATTATCCAAAGAATTAATTGCTGATAATCCTTGAAGAAATTTTCCAGACCTATGTGTGTGGGTTGTATTTTCAAGGAGTATTTGGGCTAGCAGTTTTATTTTCATATACATGAGTTTTATTTTCACACTGTTCAAATTTCCAGATGATGTAAAGCTGAGAAAAATAATGAATATATTGAATAACAAAATGGAAGTCTGAAATGATCTGATCATCTAGAGTAGGATCAGCAAACTACAGCCTGTGGGTTAAATATGGCCTACCACCTATTCTTATAAATAAAGTTTTATTGGAATACAACCACACTGTCATTTACATATTATCTATGGTTGCTTTTGTGCTACAAAACAGAGTTCAGTAGTTGCCAAAGAGACTATATATGGTCCACAGAGCCTAAAATATTTACTCTATGGCTTTTACAGAAAAGGTTTGCTGACCCCTGGTCTAATGCAGTAGCTTTCAGAATTTTTAAATTCCAGCTCGCAATGGGCTATATATTTTACTTGCTGATCCTGTACATACGTTTCAGTGATTAAAGTATTACCAATGCTAGAGTATAGGGTTGCCAGCTTTATTTAGCAAGTAAAGAAACTATATCTGGAACATACTTATACTAAAAAAAAAGTATTTATTGTTTATCTGAAATTAAAATTTAACTGGTGTCCTGTATTTTATCTGCAACTCCATCTGGTTGTTACCCCCAGAGAGTTTGATTTAATTGGCTTGGGATGTGGCCAAGGCAGAAAGATTTTTAAAAGCTTCATTTCTGATTCTCGTAGGCAGCCAGAGGTGAGATCCACTGGTCTAGCAATCATAAAAGTCTGAAGTAGGTCACTGTGGTGGAAATGTAATACAAGCATTCAATTCAAGAGAGATTCACACAGCAGAGACTGGGAAAAATTGAAAATTAGGGGAAAGGAGAAGGTGGTGATGTTAAGGTAGGGAATCTATGACAGTATTATACATGCAGTGATTGAACATGCAATGTGTTTTGTTTGGGGCATTTTAAATTTAATATACTGGCCCAATGTTCATGAGTCAGCACCCAATTGGAAGGATTTTTTTTTTTTTTTTTTTTAGCTTTATAGTTAATTGGAAAATTGGAATTTTAAACTGGAAGATAATTGTTTTTAAAATATACTGTTCCCAATAAGAATCATCTGGGATATTATTAAAATGTGGATTTTTAGGTTACAGTCTCTTAGATTCTGATTGAGTAAGTATGAGATAGAGGTCATAATTTGCAATTTAAGGAGCACCACTTCTCATGTAGGTAGATTAAAGTATCTATCAACCATTTGTACTCAAGTATACCAGCATATTTATATAAAAAATTACAGAATCTTCCTTCCCACCTCTGAAAATGGAAGCAGATTTTGGATGTAATCTGGCTCCCTGCATTTTCTGCATCAAAATTTGAGAGCTCTTACTTTGGAAAATATAGGTTAATTTGAAATGGAGTTTTAAAAACATTTTTGCAGGAGATAACTTTCTATTTTTTTTTTTAATTTTTTAAATTCAGTTAACGTAATGTATTATGGGAGATAACTTTTTAAATGTCTTTATTATTTACATGCTTGAGATTATTAGAGATATTAATTTTAAGTTTGGAAAAAGACACTAATCAAAAAGCAAAAGGAGGGGAAAAGATACACTATATAAACAGTAAACATAGGAAAGCTGACATAGTATATTATTATTAAATAAAGTATACGTCAAGGTATTACCAGAGATAAAAATGAATATTTATAAGCTAAAAGTAGATATTAAAGAGGAAGACTTAATAATACTGCTTATAAGCACATGCAGAGGAAACTGACAGAACTAAAGGGAGAAGTAGACTGATCTACAATCTTGGTTGAAGATTTTAATACTCATTCTTCAGGATCTAATAGGATCTGCTGAGCAGGGAGCCCTGATGCTGGGCCAGAAGGAGGTCCTTGACTCTGTTCAACAATGTATGGAAGTTCAAACAAGCGCAATAAGGCAAGTTGATGAAATAATAAAGGTTGAAGAGGAGAAAGTAACAGTGCCTTTATTCCCAGATGATATGACTGTTTACACAAAGATCATAAGGAATCTACTAAGTAACTACTAGAAATGAGTGAATTTAGGAAGACAGCAGGATGCAGGAATAAGACACTAAAACGCATTTTTATGTACTTAAAACAAATAATAGTATAGTATGTCTTTTTTTCATCTTTTTGCTTTTAGCCAATCTATATCATTATATTTAAAGTGGGTTTCTTAAAGACATCATGTATTTGAGCTTTGTTTTTTCTCTTTAACCAATGTGATGGTTTCTTTTAAATGATTTGTTTAGACCATTTATATTTAATGTAATCAGTGATAATGTTTGACTTTAAGTCTACAGCTTTTTCTTCCTCTTTCTCCCTGTGCTATCTTCTTTATGGATAATTTGAATTTTGTTAATATTCCGTTTCGACTATGTATTTTTATTTTTTCCCAATTCTAGGGATTACAAGATATATATCAAACCTTTCACCTAGTTAGATTTTTACTTGACATGAAATGTAGGAAGCACACAACCATATAGTTACCTTTATCTCCTCCCCCCGTTATGCTTGTTGTATGTATTTCATTTACATATATTGAAAACCCTATCAAAACACAGTTAAAATTTTTGTTTTCACTAGTCATACATATTTTGAAGAGCTTAAGAAGAGAACAATAGTCTGTTATATTTACCAAGTTGTGGTCTATTACAGCATGTCAGTATGTTTTGATTAAATTGTAAATTGCCATTTTGACTATAAGGTATCCTTTTCCTCAACCCTATTTAATAGATGTTTTTAATCAGCTAAGTTAGGGGTATATTAAGTAAAAGTCGGCAGTTAACTTGCCGTGTTGATTTAAATGGAAAATATTGCTTCATTTTTTTCATTATTAATTTGAACTCTATTTAATTGAAGTGCTCAATAAAGATTTTTGTTTCTAAAGCAACTTTAGTTGTATTTGTAATTAGAGGTTTTCTTGGTTTGGGCTTACTATTAGAATTTCCATTTTAAAAATAATAGCAATTTTTTAACAAGCCAATTAATAACTTATATGATGATATAAATTGCTCTCATTGTTTTGAAAAATTCTAGCAGTAATAGGATTTGCATAGTGCCTCTACTTTTTGATTACTATTTTTCCAGGGAAGTGTATGTTTATATTTTTTATTAAATGTATTCCAGAACAGGGTTAGGTACTTTAGATTTAGGTGTAGATAATAATGGATTCATTTTTACTCTGTTACTTGAAATTCAATTCCTATCTGAAGCACAATATTTGGAGATCGCTCTCCTGATACCAATAGATCTGTACTTCAAGTACACTTCACTGGTAAGGAGCGTACTAAAAACAGCTATTTTGAAGAAATAGTTTTACTTCCTTGGTAATTATTTTAAATAGCACACTTAAATACCTATTTGTATGTAAAAACTTTTCTTAGAAACATGGTTTTTTTTTTAAGCAACAAAAGAAAAATTTGACCTTTTCCTAGAAATCACAATATGGATTTTATACAAAGTCAAAAGATATTCAGAGCAAAATAGACCAATATTAGATAATTCTCTTATTTCCAGCTGACCCAAATTATTCCCAGTGACACAAATGATTATTGACATTCATCATTCAACAAATACTTGTTCTTGGCACCCAGGGTATTGCTGTGGAAAAGAATCAATGGAAAATATAAGAGCAACTAAATATATTCATTTCAAATAGTGATACATTCTGTTAAGACAGGTAAATAGAATAATAGAATAGAAAAAGAGAGAGTGTGTGTGTGTGTGTATGTGTGTGTTTTAGGGTGGAGGGGAGATACACTTTAAATTGTAGGGTCAAGGAAGACTTCCTTAAGGAGGGGAATATTTGAGCTGAGACCTAAATGATCGATGGGAGCCCCACCATGCAGAAGTGTGACACAGGGCATTCCAGGTAGAATATCAGATGCAAAGCCCCTACATCAATAATGAGGCCGTCCTGTTTGAAGAAAAACGAGGGAAATGTGCCTGGACCTGGTGATTGCTGGGGAGGTTCTATGAAATGACAGAGAATACTGGAGCCACGTGATGTTATCTTAAAGGTTATGAATGACCTTTTGATTTTATGATTTTAGAGAGCACAGATCAAAACAGAACTTGGTATCAAGCTGAATGTCAACTCTTTTGTTTTTTAGCCTTGGACATTTATTCCAGTTTAATATTTTACCAGTGTGTTTGATTGATTGATTGACTTAGGAGCCACACAGATGTTCTTTACCAAGCATATTTATTTATTGTGGTAACGTCTGAGCTGTTTTATACTAGCTAATAAAGTGATTTATTTGAGGGAAAAGGTGAATGAGTATAACATATGTGCCAGTTTGTTTAGCTGTTTTAAAAAAGTCTTATTTTTATGCTTTCTTTAAAGGTTATTCTAACATATTAAGAGAATTATGCATTCTTGATTATATTTTCTTAACAAAAAAGTTCTAAATTATTCTTTCTCATTAAATTTTCCCAGTTATCTCTTTTGAACAAATTGTAATTCTCTTAAGAGAATTGAGAGAACAAAAAAACTCCTATTTTGTGAAATTTACATCAGGAATCCACCTTCGTGGAGCATCTATGTCTGATTAAGTAAGGCACTGTCAAAGACAAAAAATTAAGTGAGTGTCATTTTTTTCTATTAATGGCTGAGTTCCCAGAATGATTCAGATTTTAGCCTATGATATCATCCTTATTTAAGTGTTTAGACAGACAAATAAATACTTAGAGAAATAGAATAAAATCAAGAGGGAAGTAGAAATAATTCAAAAGAGTAACAGTCTAATTAAGGCTTTAAAGTGAATGCTGTATATTCAGTTTTCATTCAGAACATTGAGATTTCGATGACAAATTAAATGCAGTTTGGGATTTCATTTTGCCTGACACTGACATTAATACTAGTAGAAAGCACCTGCTTTCATTTTCAGAGTACTTTAAGAAAGTTAATCCTGAGAAAGGGATTCTGGGAGATGGGAGGCTTGAATGCTTTCTGTGTTCTCTCCCCTTCTGATTCCAATTTATTTACCTCTCTTGAGCCAAGCAGCTTCTGAGGTCAGAAGGCCTGCAGGAATGAGGGAGAAATTAGGTTCTTTGGAGTCCTAGTAGAAATCTGATGCAGAATTTTATCTTCTCTGCACCCTTTGAAAGCCTGGAAAACAATGCAAGAGAGGCCCCATATGAATGTGGCAGATCCTAGGAAGAGCTCAGTCTGCAAAAATCTTCCCTCCTCTCAGTTTTATGTCATAAAATGTTAATTCCCAGACAATAATGCAATATTAGTTAAAATTCCACAAGGACTTTTAAGGAGAATTCTTTGAAATTATTTTTAAATTACTAAATATGCGATTAATTTCTTAGATAAAAACGAATGGATGCCTGAGAATAGGGAGGACGAGTCTGAAAAATAGATTGGTTTTGATAATGTTAGAGAGTAACTAACATTACTCAACTTTAGAACACACTTTAAAGCCACTTCAGTATCATCAGTATCATCCTAACATAAGGATAGATAAATACGTAAGTAGAACAAAATAGAACCTTTCTCAACCAGAGTTCTTCACCTGAATCACAGAGCTCAGGGAGCTCAAGAAATGATTTGTTGTTTTCTTGATTTCCCCAAGGATAATATAGAACTAGTACCATTCTAGATGCATTGGAGAGAAGTCCATTTATTGTATTAGGCATTAGGGCTTCATTCTTTCACAGAATCTAGGTTGAGAGAGACTAGATAACTCAGAACTATAAAATTAAATATATGGTGAAGATGGAATTTCACCTTTGTGAAAGATTTTTTTTTCTTTTAGTAATAATAGTATGAACACAATTGACTATCCATATGGGAGAAAATGAACTTGAACCCTTATGGCACTTCATGTATGAAATAAATTCCAGGAAATTTCATGACTTAAATCTAAAAATGAAAGCAAAAATCTTAGAAATTTTTGAGTTCCACGTGTAAAAATGTATGGATTAGGAAGACCCTCTTAAATCAGGAGACATAGAAATTTTAGTTTCTTTTTCTTTTAGGGACAAATTATATCAAATGCAATGTCTTTTCTCTGATTTTTTTAAAAGACACCATAAATATGTAATGTCAATATGTAAAAATAGATGTTAAAAAATACTTGAAATACAAATGACAACTATTTAAGTGTCAATTATAGACCAAGTGCTCTTCTAAACTAATGGGAAAAAAATCAAAACCCCAATAGAAAAAAATATCAAATGATACAAATAGGTAATTCTGTTTATGTAGAGTTCTAGAACAGGAAACACTCTCTATAGTGATAAAAATCACTCCATGGTTGCCTAGGATAGTGAATGGGAATTGCCTGCAAAGGGGCAGGGTGGAATTCTCCGAAGTAAAGGGAATGTTCTGTGTCATTGTGGAGATGATTATATTGGCAGGTCTTGGACCTATATATTTAAATGTGTACTTTTATGTATGTAAATTATGCTTCAAGAAAGTTGATTTTAAACTATAGTTGATACCCTTAAGTGCTAATACTTTAAAAGGATGTTAGCACCTATTGCTGTTAGGGCTGTGGACAAAAGGATGTTCTCTTTTCTTGCACAAAAGTGAATCTTTATAGCCTTAATGGTAGCAACTTTGAAACATCTAATAAGATAAAAATTAATATCTTTCTGTCCAGTAGTCCTGTCTCTTAGACTGTTCCATAGGAATAAAAGTCCCAGTACATAAAAACATGTATGCAAATATGTTTAATGCAGCACCATTGTTAGTGGCTAAAACCTGTGTGCCAAATAAATGTCCATTAGTAGGGGAATGGCTGATGAAACTGTGGGACATATTTATCATATGGTATTTTATAGCCATTTAAAAGGATGGGTTCAAACTATATCAGGAAGGATATCCGTAAGTTACTGTTAAGGGAGAAAAGCATGATGCATATAAGGAAAGCAAATAGGCTATTTCGTTTTTTAAAAGGAAATAGTGCTCTAAAAAAATATCCTATAAAGATGCATGTTTTAATGTATGTGCAAAAAAAAAAAATTCAAGGATATATTCCAGATCCTAAACACAGCTTACCTAGTGTGAAAGGCAGGATGGCGGGGGGAGGGGGGGGGAGAAGAGAGGAGCAATGGAGAGGAGGAGTGGTGCACAGAATAAGATTTATCTGAAAAACATCAAAAAAACACATATAATTTCCCATCTTTGCAAAATATCATATATCTTCATAAACCAGAAGAACATTTAGGTTTTTATGTCCTGTCTTACAGGGGATATTCAAAATATACATTCAAATTTTAGAAAGATGTTGCAAAGTAATGTTTATAACATTCTTCTATTTTAGTAAATAAAGAAGATCCTCTGTAGATGAGCTCTTATTTTCAGACTGCTTTCAGTTTCTCTGAGAAACTTTCCAAATATAATCCTCTTGATTTCCAGGCACCAAAAGTGGATGTCCATTTATGTTGGAGTGGTATGATCAATGCAGAAAAATTAGTTCTGCTCTCTCCAGTATCACTCATTTGGTCCCATAGAGTGGATGCTACTCAAGGGCAGATCTGCACAGATTGTGGAGTCTTTTGATAACAGTGGATGAGAGAATAAGAATTGTATATTTCTAGCTCTTTGGGTTTGCTGAAGTTCCAGTTGGTTGTTCCACTTGGAGAACATTTGTTTTTCACTAGAGCACATACAGGAAGGCACTGTCAGGTCTCAGTTGGTGTCTTTCAGCCCTCTTTTTTTCCCCTTCTACCTGTACATTTTATACTTTTATTTCACTGACTTTGGAGGGTGAGAGTATACAGCTAACTCTGAGATGGTCAAAGGGTAAATATAGGAGGAATTCTGCATCTGTGGTCAGCACTGGTTTAGATTTCTTTGAAATAATGATGGGTACTTTTAGTACTGGTTGTGTTTTCCAAGGCTTTCTTGCATAGGACATAAATCCTGTTTTCACTGTCGTGTAAAGGGAAAGCATACTTTGCCACGTGGAAAACAGTTTTTTTGATTGAACCCTCTTATCCCTCATCTTTGGAAAACCTTCATTCTCCGTGTTTATCTTCTGTATCCTGCTATACCTCTATGTTTGCTTACAGGAATGTCTAAGATTGTTTTCATTCCCCTTCATTAACCTTTACCAACATAGGACATGTACCTATTGACCCCACTGTAATTGGTTAAAACAGAACATTTGGAATACCTTGCCATATACACACACTTACTCACTTTAACAGAGCATTCCAGAGTAGGAGTATACAATGAATGGGTGAAGATTCACTAATACTATAACCATCTGACCTCATATGTAAATATAAAGCATCTTGTAAGATCAGTTTTGTTCAACAGAGCACCCAGTTCAGAGCATCTTATCACATAAAACAGAAGTCCAACAAGGCACCCAGTTTGAGACCCAAATGATGCAAACAGTATGGATAGCTGCTTGATGAGTGCTTCCAAAGAGTATTTGTACTCCATTAAATTCTCATTTCAAGGTCCCTGAGAAGACCAAAAGAAAAAAATATATAGAAGTTCTAACTCTTGATTAAAAAAAAAATTGAGCACTCATTCTAAGGATCATCTGGATGTGATTAAGAAAGCTCTTAAAATATTAACTCATCTTTTCATACTTAAGTGCTACAAATTAACCACCTTTTAAAATCATTTTGGTGAATCATTTTTTTCCACTCTTGAGATATTAAACTTTTTGCAGGGACAAACATTATTCAGTTGGTTATGAATACTAAAATATTGATCCTACATTAAGGGGGGGGAAGGGACTAAAGTAAATCAAAACAAATTGAAAAAAAAAGTGGTAGACTTGATCAGTCATTTAAATTGAGCAGAAAAAAATAAACATGCGTACACTATATTAATTATATAATTATATGTTATATATATATAATTCATTTTTCATGGGAATTCTCTGAAGAATTTATGAATCTGAAAAGATGGAGAGAATAGGAAAAGATGATGAGTTGGCATTAAGAAATGTTAATGGGATCAGTGTAAGTATAAGCAAGTAAGTTAATGCAATATGCATGAGGCTGTTTTCAGTATGAACTCTTTAATTTATAAAACTTGGAGGAAATTGAAATTATTCAACACAGTAGTTGTTTTAGAAATTGAAACATCCATTTTAATAACATTCCCTTTTCCTTTGTTTTCTTTTTGGTTTTGTTTGTTTTGGTTTTACAAACAGGCCATATACTCCTATGAAAGGAGGAATCTCCAGTGTATGGTTTGACAGACTTAAAATATCTAATGACTGCCCAGAACACCTTGAATCAATCAATATAATGTGTCAAGTGCTTACCGATTTGATTGATGATGAAATAAAAAGTGGGATCAAGAAGAATAGAATATTAGTAGGTAAGACTTTTAAATGTTGGTAATTTAAGTTTCTTTCAATTTCGTCTATTTCAATACATTGAACTTTACTTGGAATATTATTTAGAAACACTTGTATATCACTTGACCTTTTCATAGTGTCAAATAGAGTTTACATATTAAGGGTTTCAAAAATATTAAACAACAGCTTATGAAACCTTAATTTATTTTCTTTCTGATAGTAACATAATTTGAGAATTCCATGCTCAAATTTCAATTAAGAGATCATTCACTTCAGTTTTTAAAATATTTTAGTTAGCTTAAGTTTTATAAATATGTTTAAACTATTGCCATGATTAAGGTAGCATATGCAGTCAAAATGTAATATAAAATCCATGAAAAGTAAACTCTTCAGACTTAGTATCACAGGAGCAGGGCATTTATAAACTCCTGTTAAACATACCTTCAGCAGTTTCTTTTTCCAAGAGAATATAAAGTACCTTTAGATAAGCTGTTTATTCTACTTAATGCCCTTTTCTTTCTCTAATCATTAAATACATAAACTATTAAAATCTCTATTTCTATAATACATGGGAAAATGAGATTGGCTGGGTAGGGTGTGGATGGTACCGGACATATTTTGGTGAAGGAGTTTTATTTTCAAATATAAGTATTCAATTTATAATGAGTTGTATTTAATGATGAAATTATAAAGCAAATTAGCTATCTCTATCATATTCTAAATAACATTAAAATGCACATTGAGATCTTGTATAGACAAGATTTGGGTAAATTAATAAACTTCCTTTGTGTTTATTGAAGTACTGAACTAGTCATTCAGTTGAGAGTCAGTATAATAATATGATGAATAAAATCCATTCTCTTCTGCCTTGCCTTCAACTTCCACTTTTGTTAAAAGCAGTGTGCGCTCCAGCCCAGCAACATCCCCTTCCTGGTCCTCTGTTTTAACATCTAAATAGAGAACAACAACAACAAAAAAGTAGGAATAACAGTACAAAGTCATGTTTTACTGGGAGGCGGATGTTTGTGAAATACTTGGCTCATTCTGGGTTTCAAAGCCCATGATTGTCCCATTCAGTTAACCAAACAATTTTAAGACTTCAAATACATATTGTCAAATTCTTTTCATGAAAAAATTGTACCTATTGATACTTCTACCACCCCATTACACTGTCCATCTTATTACATCCTCACTGAATAATATTGTCTTGAAAAAAAATTTGCTAAAAATAAGGTAAATAATTTGTACTTAATTTGTTATTTTCCTTCTAATTTTGTTATATTTTAACACAGGAAAGCTTTTCTTAGTTGTCTGTTGGTCTTTCCTCTTACGATTTTTCTTTTCCAAATAAGGTCTCAGTTTAAGAAAGTCTCTAAAACTTGGGTAAATATTCAAATAGATTTTCTACTGGTTTTCTATAATGTGATTTATTTTTTTTTTACATGTAATTCTTTGATTCATCTGGAATTTATTTTGCTTTTTTTTTACCATGTTATGGAAGTATTAATTATTTTCTGAAGTACCAAGAGAACCTTGTTAAAACATAGTCTTATTTATAAAGCATTCAGTAATATACTCAGTATTTTATCAAAACTCCATTGAATTTATAACAACAAAATTTCTTTTTGGTAACTTTGTAGATGATTACATTATAAAATGATAGAACTTGAAATTTATGACAAAGCCATGTTAAAATATTAAAATATTTACATATTATGTTATTTTATGAATATAAAAAGCTAGGAAAGAAAAAAAGCTATTTTTTTAGAATTTGAGAGTTGAGCTGATTAACTTTTTTTTTTTTTTAAGATTTTATTTATTAATTTGAGAGAGAGAATGAGATAGAGAGAGAGAGCATGAGAGGGGGGAGGGTCAGAGGGAGAAGCAGACTCCCCGCCGAGCAGGGAGCCCGATATGGGACTCGATCCCGGGACTCCAGGATCATGACCTGAGCCGAAGGCAGTCGCTTAACCAACTGAGCCACCCAGGCGCCCAGAGCTGATTAACTTCTATAAGAAAGCCTCTTTCCTCGTTTGAGATGTGAAAGAGACCGCAGAAGTGCAGATGCAAGGTAGTTTATTCTTGTTACCTGTATTGTTAGTTATTTAACGAGTCAGTGAACATAAATCTTCAGGAACAGTTCTGTAGCATTAAACATGTACCCCAAACTACACATAATCCTTGACCTCTTATACTATGACAGAACATTAGTTATATTACCTCCTTTTTTGTGTATGGGATTCTTTACATGGATTAACTCTTAATGCAGAGAGGAAGTACCTTTCTAGTCCTGTGGGGATTTTTTTGTTGTGGTTGTTATTTGCTCATCTTACTGACCTAACTGAACCACCCATTTATTTGAAAATTGTGGCACAAGAAGCAGTGTCATGGCTGTGTTCAAGTACGTGTGCGTGCATTCCCTGCATTATGCATATCATAGTTGCAAATGCGCGGATGCAGCTGATGACAGTAGAACACAGGCAAGAACCAGGGCCCTGGACTCGGCCTGCAGATTTCCGAACCTAGACTCACTACTTTGTAGGTACAAAATCCCCTTGGACTCTGTGCCTGATGATAAGTACCTGTCTTACAGAGTCGTGATGATTGAATTAGTCAATTCATATGAAATACTTAGAAGTGTGTCTGGCATGAGACAGGTTTCTTGCTGTTACTAAATAGTCTTTATACCCCTTAGCCACGGTCACTCCAAACAGCAGAAAGGCCCTCCTGGGCGACTCAGGTAGCTCACTACTTCTTCCCTACCCAGCTGTCTTCATTTTTTGCTCCATGGTGGACATGCTGTGTTTCCCTCTTTCTTTTTCATAAATTATTTAAAAAGAACTTACTGCTTAATGTTTTTCTACTGGTTTTTGTACTTTTGTGCATGTGTGTGTGTGTGTGTGTGTGTCTCTCTCTCTCTCTCTCTCTCTCTATATATGGTACATTTTAAGTGAAGTAAGATTTAAGTGCTATTCATAACATTTTAATGAAGGAGGGTTTCAGTGGGAAGTCAAAGAAAAATGCATTTAAGATTCTGAACAATTTTTATTACATACACACATATGCACCACAGTGAGGTTGGGTTATTTTTTAAAAAATGATTGTAAAAGGAAAAACTGGATAATTTTAGGATCAGAAAGGAAAAACATGGAGATAATAGGTACAAAAATTGTTAATCCTTATTGATTTTGTTTAATATGTGATAAAATTTCTGATTTAATATCATACAATATATGCTCATGGAACCCTTATCTCTGAGGTTATATGCAACCAGTGTAGCTTTGTAAAACAACACTATTCTCTATATTTGGGTAAATGGGAGGCTATTCATTGTCTGGTTTTATTTTGATGAGTGGTATTTTATTATATTAAATTTAGTTTTAAAAACAATTGTTTTAATAATATATGTTTTCCAAACTGTTTTTGGATAGTGTACCTAGCTTGATCAAGTCAAAGATGGTACTTCTCATACCAAATCTGATCTCCAAATTGTTAATAAAAATGTTAAATCTTGGAGTATCAAGAAAACTATCAAAAATTTTACAGCCTAATGAGGGAGATACAGAAGTAAGGTGCTGTAATACAATGTATTGCAGAAGTGTGTACAAGGTACAGTGTGAGCAGTGAGGAAAGACAAGTAAATCTTTGGGGGAGTTAGGGACTGCTTCTTAGAAGAGAGGACTCTCCAACTGAGTTTTTGGTTTGTTTTTTTTTTTAAAGATTTTTTATTTTTTTGACAGAGAAAGAGACAGCAAGAGAGGAACACAAGCAGGGGCAGAGGGAGAGGGAGAAGCAGGCTTCCCATGGAGCAGGGAATTTGGGAGTTGAGCTGATTAACTTCTATAAGATGTGGGGCTCGATCCCAGGACCCTGAGATCATGACCTGAGCCTAAGGCAGACGCTTAACGACTGAGCTACCCAGGCACCCCTCTCCAACCGAGTTTTAAAGAATGAGTAAAAATATCACTGATAAACACATTCATGGAAGAAAGGAAGGGCACATCAGAATCTCTCAGGATATACTAGTTTAGTATGCACTCCAATTCCCGAGGATTATCGAATTAGATACAGAGAATAACATGATCGAATGTGCATTTCAGAAAGCTTATGTTGATAACGCAGTGGAGGGCAGGCCAGTCTGAAGGCCAGGAGAATAACAAGGTGGCAAAATAGATCCAAGAGAATGATGGCGATTAACACACACACTGTTTCCAGATTTAGGGAACACAAAGATGAATAAGGTTTATACTGAAGGACCTGATAATCAACTGCAAGCGTTAGCTGTGAAAACAAATTCTTGGTTTTCTAGTCATCAGTGGAAATAGATTGCCTTCTTAATGGAAAAAGTAAATTAACTTTGCTTAGATAGGAAGAACTAGACAAAAAGTTCACTACCTATCCTAATGTCGGGGTCAGATACAGAGGAGATGGTCAAGGAACACCAGTGTGTTCCTTGGAGATATTTGTGAATCCTCACTCTGTACATTAAGACTGTCAGGCATAAGAGAGCTTATCTATTTAATTTTATGTATTTATACCACACATGATTCTACAGAGTGTATGATAAGAGTTAGGGGAAACATGGGCAGTAAAATAGTAACTTTAAATCAGTTTCTGATTGTTGACAATATAGTTACTGTAATAAACCGTTGGTTCAAATCTTGTATCCTGAAGAAATTATTAATAATGCTAGATTATCCTGTCTTCTTGTTTTATTAACATGTGGGGAGTGTCCATTGTGCAGAATGTAAGCAAATTCATAGTACTACATTCTGTCTCTCTGTTAATGTCAGTCTTGAAACTCATTTCCTTCTGGTATGTTTCTGTATAATGTGAGAAATCAAAATGGAGAAAGGTATATAATTTTTCCCATTTGTACTGTTGTGCTTTAAAAATACATATAGTAGTAATACTACTAAATAGTTGGCATTTATATTACACTTGACAGTTTTTAAATTGCCATTATTAATACATCATAATGTTTTATTTTCAGATAGTGTTTAAATTATAAGGTTGTTTT